CAACCCGTTGGGGCTGATGGTACTTCCCAAATAAGTGAAGCGGTCAACGTGCTCTACCACTTCACTTCCTATTTTTAAACTAGGCGTCGATGTAGTCCAGTCCTGTAACATCATCTTGCATTTGGCGGGAGCGAATCGCATGCCAAACATTCGTAGATTGCGGCTCAAGGTGTTTAGAAGACTCTGCATTTCGTCAGCGTCTTCGCCTAGAAGGACTATATCGTCTGCATATTCCAAGTCAACGAGATTATTCCCCGGTAGCAAGTCAATCCCTGAGTCGCTGAAGTCACCTAGGGTTAAGTCCATTAACACATCTATGATGAAGTTGAATAGAAAAGGAGATAATGGGCATCCTTGACGGACACCACTGGTCGTCATCAGTTCAGATGACAGCTCGCCGTAAGCCCTCACCTGGCTGTATGAGTACGAGTAGAGTGCCTTAATCAGTGCAATATATTTTCTTGGAATTCCCTTTACAGCCAAGCATCTCCAGAGAACTTCCCGATCGACAGAGTCGAATGCTGCCTTTAGGTCAAGAAATATAATGACTGTTGGACGCCGGTAGGAATGCCTATGTTCTAGAATCTGTCGGAGGGTGAAGATATGATCAATACACCCTCTTCCTGGTCTAAAGCCTGCCTGGCTCTCTCGTGTTTGTGCTTCCCGAGCACCACTCAGTCTACGCATGATTATTGAGCCTAAGACTTTAGATACTATATTAGTCAAGCTAATCCCTCTGTGATTATCACAGGAAGACTTGTCTCCCTTCTTGTATATGGGGATAATCAGTGACTTACACCAACCCGATGGGACTTCTTCTGATTCCCAGACGCTGCCTAGTACCTCAGTTAATCCGGACAGTAAGCTGTCTCCACCGTACTTAAATACCTCTGGAGTCATTCCATCAGGTCCCGCTGCTTTGCCTAGTTTCAGATTGGTGACAGCTTTAGTAACCTCAGTTAGTGACGGAGGACCTGTGTCTATATCCCATTCAGGGAGGTGTTGGATGCTCGGAAGGTTGAGCGTGGCTGTGGGCAAATTAAACTGCTCCTCATAATGCTCTTTCCAACGATCCAGTCGTCTATCCTGGGAGCTAATTATAGTGCCATTTTTTTCCGAGATTGTCTCACTAATGATTTGTCTTCTCCCACCCGTTTCCCTGATGAGTCCAAAGAGTTGCCTGGTGTTGCCTATCCTCAAAGCTTTCTCCATCTCTTTGGCTTTTGTCGCCCACCACTGTTCACGGTCCTTGCGGAGACTTTTCGTAAGTTTCCTCTTGTGCAGCTTTCGCTCCTCATTGAATTCGGAGCTCGCCGGAATAAGTCTTCTAGCATCTATCAGTTCGGATGAGGCGGTGGAGATCCAGTGGTTTTTACTCACCTTTGGGTTTACCTTATTCACAGCTTTTACAGCTGTATCTATGGCTGCCTGGATATTTTTCCAAGCTTCTTCAGGGTGAGCACAGCTGTCGAACACAGATATGTGTTTAGCTAGTTCTTCCTGAAATACGGATTTAGTTTCCTGATCGAGCTGGGGACGTGATGGTTTTACCGCCAGCTGTTTCCTACGTCCGTTCAGTCGTAAGCACACCCGAGCGCGGACCAGTGCATGGTCGGTATCTACGCACGTGTTCCAGAAGGAGCGACAATCTCCTACCGACCCACGCCAACGATAGCTTATTGCTATGTGGTCTATTTGTGTCCAGCGTTGGTTTGATGAAGGGGGTCTCCAAGTCAAACAGTGTCTCTCCTTGTGTTTGAAGTTAGTGCTTACAAGAAACAAATGATTATCAGAGCAGAACTGTAGGAGACGGTCACCGTTGTCGGTTCGCTGGCACGGAACTCCATAGGTGCCACCGACATCCTTCTCAGATTGACACAATTTCCCTACTTGAGCGTTAAAGTCACCAGCTAGAACGACTATGTCTGAGCGTTTAGCCTTTCCACCAAACTAGACAGCTTTTGGTAGAACTCATCCTTCGTTTCATCTGAACTGCAGTCAGTGGGGGCGTAGGCGGAGATTACGAAAAGGCATCGGCGAGTAGTGCAGTCCTTCCTCCTTCTTACTGATCCGTTCAGGCGGACAGCACACATTCGGCTATCTACCGGGATCCAGTCAAGCAATGTCTTTTCTGCCCTAGTACTCAAAGCTATCCCTACGCCAGCTAATCCTCGTGAACTAGCTGTGGCATCTCCTGACACCCTCAGGTGAATTTTGCAGATTCAACCTGTTGGCCAGGTGGGGTTAGGTGAATAACCACACTTGGGTCTTGTATGCGTGTTTCTGAAACACAGCATACATCAATGGCTCGTGATGCCAGGGTCTTGGCTAGTGATGCTTGTTGTCCTATTTGGCAAAGTGTCCTAACATTAAGAGCTCCTATATGAAATTGGTGGCGCGGCTTTAAGAGGCTGTCGGTGGTGGTTTTTTGGCTTCCATCGTTTTTAGTGGACGCAGAGTGGAGAGGAAGTGGAGAGCTATCAAGTCGAGGAGTTGCATCAGTGGAAGGAAGGCAAGATGATAGAGATGAAGATGAAGACAAAGATGAGTGAGTAATAGAGAGGTTTCGTGTGCATTTCGGATTGTGAGGGCGATTGTTACTTCCCGGCTGCCCACACCGTGGAAGTTGGTTGCGTGACCGCAGAGCCCAGGGGACAACTGCTTGAGGCCGGTCACACGCGGCCTGTGGTATTAGCGATGCTGATGAGTCACTTCTATTGTATGTGTTGTGTTGTGTTGTGTTGTGTTCGGTGTGTAGACTCGATGAACCAGGCAGGATTCACTAAGTAATCAATCTCTCTCTCTCTCTCCACCTACCTACCTACCTATATTACTTTTTAGAATTTTGACTCTGTCCCATTCACCCCATTGTGTTGCTGTGTTTTAGTGCATGTAGTGCAATCTAGTGCTGACTTTTTTTTTTCTAGATTACTTATCTTCGTGGTATCAGTCATTCTAACTCTAGCTAAATTGTTACCTTCTGACAACCAATTTGACTAACCCTGATCTACCGGTCTGTTAGACCTAAGTGGTTGACGTAACTCACAGTCATCATTGCAAGGTATTTTGTAAATTATATTATTTCGTTTAATTGGGTCCACCAGATCCTTTAGTCCACATAGCTTGTCTCTGGGTGAGTTATTCCTCATCTTATTGTATTTTATTGATAACACTAGTATCATTACTATTATTATTATTTCCGAATGTACTTTATTATCTAATATTGATTGATCTTATTCAATCAAACGTCTATTCACCATCATCAATTTTTACTTATTTGTGTATATAAATGACGACGCAAGAAGGTGACGGGTGTGTGTGAGTTGTGTGCCTTGATATGATTGTGATTATGAGTAGCAGTGATAGATTGTGCTCGAAGCGTGTGGTCGTCATCAGTAAATATTTTTATATTATTATTTCCTTTAATTCCTAGAGGAACATAGAGCTTCAACCGCGCGTCTCCATTGCCTTCGGTTCTCTGCCAATTTTTTTCACCCCGCTCCAAGTTTGCCCACACGCTTTCATCTCCTCTTCGCATCACCTCCTCCAAGTCACCGTCACGCTGACGACCAACTCGCCGCCCGCTTTCCCTTCAGGTTTCACTCGAGCAATGGCTTGTCTAGTGATGTCACTCACTTGATGGTTTCCTCAGAATATGGCCAGCCAATCCATCTCCATATCTTCCTGCCTATTTGTTGCACAATCGGTTCCTAGTGGGTTGGTTCGCTCACTGCCAGAGATCCCTACCTGTCACTGATCTTTTCTGGCCGGCCGGCCGGCCATCTGATCTTGAGTATTGAGCGAAGACAACTGTTGATGAAGGTATAGTTTTTTTGAGGTGCTCTTTTTTGACGCGCTGTCCAAGTCTCTGATCCGTATAGTGAATAGCACTGACTGACTTCACATTGGAGTTGAAAATCCGGATCTTATTTTTGAAGGTGAGTGCTGTTGACCTCCATACAGACTTGGGAGTAATGAAAGCTTGTCTTGCTTTTCCGATTCTGGCTTTGATATCCTCGTCATTTCCTCTTATAGTTGAAAGGATGCTTCCCAGGTAAGCGGGTGAAGGAGGTTGTTTCTTTCAGGTTCCTCCCATTTACGCTGGCTGATTGTTGTCTGTTGTTGTTTTTCACTTGTATATCTTCCAGTTTGTGGGAAATCAAACAGATATCATCGCGGGCGAAGTCCAAATCCTCCAAGTTTTTTGTGTGGGTCATCAGTAAATAATTAGTGTGTAACAAACACACTCTGTGTGACACTTTATTAAAATAAAATTTTCATCCATAATGGAATCATACTCAAGCACTACAACAGTGGCCAAGTTTTATACTTAAGCTATGCTTATTTTCTGTTTGTCTTTCTTATCTATATATTTTAAAAGCTTTCTTGACACCCTTTTATTTATTCTAGGAGAACAGTCTATATTTACGTATTTTTTTTAACGTAGTTTTTCTTCTCTTTTCTACTGGTGTGTACCATGCCTTATATATATGTGTGCGTCGTTGGCACGGCGGTAGAATGCTCGCCGACCACGCCCATGTGGTCGGGGATTCGATCTGCGGCCAACGCACACTTTTTTTTACCTCTCTAAGGCTGTAATAAGACTGGTAAAAGGGGAAGATTTGTGCATGGGGCTAGTAAGCCCATCCCGTAAAAGTACATACCACCGATACCGAAAGTTCAAGCCCCTAACTTGAAGACGATGCCCTATGTTCCACACTGGGGAACGTAAAGAAATTAAAAAAACACACACACTCTATTATCCGAAGTATGCCAAAACTTTTTTCATATATTGAATTAGCTGGTATCTTATACATAGATGCAGTGTGTGACCACACTGTTGTCGCTAATTAAATATCTCAAATAGAGTTTAATCGATCAGTTATGGCTTCATGTCTTTTAATTCTTTTCTTTTTTTTCTGAACAATGTACCTACCTCTCTTTTGACTCGATTTCTATTTAAATTTTGCCAATCTTTTGTGTTTATTATTTTTTTTCAGCATCAACACGTACAGATGACGACAGCTATATAATTGAATATGCTTTGGAATACGGCTTTCTCCGTCTTTCACCACAGGCGCGTAAACAGTTTAACATAACAGTGAAATTGGTTGTCCTTGGTAAGTTTATTTCCTTAATTATTATTATTATTATTATTATCATTCGAGTTTGACCACAGATTCATCACTCACACAGTAACAGAACCATTGAAAACCAGCTGACGGGGGAGGGGTACTGCAGACAACTGTTTCATCGACCCCCAGTTTCGGGAATCATCGACAATACCACAGTCAGGGTTTTTAACCCAGCACTTTCCGGTTACATTCAGCCGCTAACTAGGACCCGATTCAATGACCAGTGCATGAATTCTAACTTCTATCAATTTGTGGACAATTTAACGCGACTAGCACCAACCTATGCTATTGGCGGGAAACCCATCCTCACAACTGACTAGATGGAACTCACTGGTGACTATTTCTCACTAGAACTCTAGGAAACTCCGTTCTGTAGCCCCAGTTGTCATTAGCGAGCATCAGGTTAATTTGAAAGAGTTGATTTTTAAGGATTAGATTTGTTTTTCCCCGTCCTCTAACTGTGGAAGGTCCTGGGTTCGAATCCCAATGGATGCGTACTGCTGATGATCTCCAAACTAGGCTGACGAAACTGCTGTCTGGCAGTACTCTCCAAGCTGATTTTCAATGCTTCTCTTACTGATATCAATCCATCCGTGGTCAAACTCAAACAAGATATAATCCTTATAAACCAACTCTTGAAAATTAGTGATTATTATTATTATTATTATTATAAAGCGGCAGTAAAATCTATCTCTACCTCAAATTCATCGACTTCACAAAGGCCTTCAACAGCGTTGACCGAGAAGTAATTTGAAAACTACTTCAACACTACGGCGTGCAGTACCCAAGTCTTTATCAACCTCATTCAACAGCTGGCTGGCTCTATGACAATACCGCGTGTCAGTCAGGTGGTCCACAACAAAAAAACTCATCAAATCGTTCGAAATGCCTACAAAGCTGTCTGTTATTACTGATGATATTTGTAATTAATTGTGGTGGACTGTGAATTATGCATCAGACTGTGCACTGGGAGTGAGTGAGTGAGCGAGTGAGTGAGTGAGTGAAAAGACAGGAAGGAACACGCTGCACTGATCGATAAGACTCTAGAAGATCTGGATTTCTCAAGTGATAACATATGTTTAATGTCACACAAACTCGAGGACTTCCAGCCGAAAACCAACAAAGTGGCTAAGAAGATGGTAGAGAAGTCAGGACTGCCTGCAGATGAACATAGAGAAGGTGTAGACGGAGGTGATGAAGATACCCAATCAGCAGTGACAAGAAACAACACCAGTGACATTCAACAGGAGAGATTTAACAGAGGTTGCTTCATTCACTTATTTAGGAAGCCAGCATTGCTTCGAATACAGGTGGTCGGAACGGATGAAGCTGTCAAAGCTAGCTAGCTAGCTAGCCAGCCAGTCAGCCAACCAGCCAGTCAGAATCGGAAAGACAAGCAAAGTACTCACGCTTTCATCAATCTGAAACCAGTTTGGAAATCTTCTGTTTCACTCCGCCCTAGCATAAGGAACAAGATTTGGATACTGTTACACGGTTTTCTTTAAAGATCGATCTACAGGAAACCAACATGAAATGGTCAATGCACGAACTCGCATAGTTAGCTCTCTCTGAGAAAAAAGAAAAATCTGATCCACTTCTTATCCTCAAGAATAAGAAGTATATGTGCCTGCCAGTGGTACAATCGAGGGAGAACTGAGGCAACTCAGATAGAGGTCCTCATAGAAAATGGATATCATCCAAGATTCATCGAGAAAAAGATGAAGTTAAAATAAGAGCCTGGAAGAAACCAGTCGGATTTCTACAGCCGACAAATGATCAATGGTTGTGTAAAGGATAAACTGCCGCTTTGGACGGGCCACTTCAATGTGTGTTTATAAACTGACCTGATCGTGTGGAGCTACTTACATTGGTCTCACAAAGCGGCCGCACACTTTCCAAACACATTTCTCAACATTGTCTGGCATGGTTAGCAAAAGAACAATGCAAGACAGTTGGTTACTAGCTCAATTCTCGAGCAATTGGTGAACTCAAGCCACATAGCTCTACCAGAGTCGTCTTTGAAAATCATCTACAATGTGAGGCCAAATGGCACAAAGGGCGGCAGGTTTCGGCATTTGTGTATGTCGGAGGCGTTGGAAGTTCATCAATACAGCCCCTGAACTCTGTATACAGAAAAAGTTTGTCTAGTCTCTTAATCTACCAGGGTGTACATTTTCACACTTATTAAATGGGCACTCAACGACCATCACCCTTCTTCTCATTACTCAATAACAATTTTAACCTTATAAAATTTCTAACCCTTTCCTCCTTTGTGCTGTCATTGACTACTACGTTATTTATTACTCTTATTTTTTACTTTTGAAGCCAGTTCTAAGTAATGTTTATCACTTATGTCACACACACACACACACACCTGTTTCTCACTAATGGACTAGCATACATTTTTTGCTTTTTTTTGTCCTGACTCAACAGGCATTTTCGGTGATTTGAATACAATGCAATTGTGGCTATAAAAATTAATTAGTATATAAAATTCAAAGCCTTATAAAGTAGATAGAGGAGTATTTATTTGACAGTAACTGAGCATACCTTTTCTCTTCTTTTTTCTTTTCTCGTCTCCTTCTCCTTTGATAGATCCTCAAAGTAATCCTTGTTTCGGTGGTGTTGTCAGTCGATTTCTTATGGATGAATTTTTGGGCTATGAAGATCTTTTAATTGGAAGTATAAAATATCTATCGGCTACTGAAGGTCTAAAAGGTTATGTGGTGAATGTAATGAATGGACAGCATTATCGTCTTGTCTCTGCTCAAATGTCATGGTCATCCTACTTTGCTGCTGGTTTTATAATGCTACTGTTTGTAAGCTGTTTAATTAATTAATTATTATTATTTTATTGGTGAATTTGAATTTTCATAGCTAAAGTCAAGGTCCTTTGAAAGTCGACCTTCAAGAACCGATTGCTAGGTAAGGAGTAAGGGGAATTGAATCGACACGATGGATAGTTAGGAAGTCTGTTACGCATGCATGCCTAGCCATCGATCGCCTTCCTCGACAATGGGTAATAGTACCTGACTGACATAGGATGCATCAGGTTAGAAAAGAGTTAGCCAGTTGTTGTGGTTGTCAGACGAAAACATGGCCTCATCTGTCAATAAAATCCACAACAGTTGGTTTAAGCCAGCCAGCTACTTAGGGGGAGGTGTAGACTTCCTGAATGACTGGGTGGGGTCTTCGGAACAGTAGAAAGCAATAAAGGCTGTTCTCGGTAATGGCTGTATGGCTGAGATACATCCATTCCTCGTGACTCATAGTATCCGATAAAACTGTATTGTTCTTCCATATTAGTGTTATTCTTTTTGACTGATATCTGAGTTTATTATCTCTGTGTGCGTGTGTTTTGAATCTCCTTTTAGCTTCTTCTTTTGCTTTGTGTGTGTGTGTGTGTGTTTAGTGAAGTGTGACGACTCGAACTGCTGCACATCAGTACAAAGTTGTACGTTGAAACCAGTTAGTTAGTCAAGGACTGATCCGACACAGGGAATGCTATGAAATGTCATTCCATTTCAAATCATGCCTGCCTTTTTGGACTTAGGGAGGATAGATACCGTAGTATTCCACTTCTTTACCAGCCACTTTTCCTTCAAATCTATACTCTTAGGTAGTGTTATGGTGTTTAAAATTGTGGCGTAGGATCTAAGGTTAAGATTAGATTTAGGATTAAATTTAGGTTTTAGGAGTTAAGATTATGGTTACAGTTAGGAGTAGGTTGATGTATAGTATCAAAAATACCAATGAATCGCAAAGTATAATGGTCTACAGTCACCTGGATGAATGGGTATATTGCTTATGGTACGATTTCTTTCTAGATCGTTTGTGTATTGACTGAGGGACATTTTTATAACACATAGGCTGTCTATCTGCTTTCGACATACAACTTTCCACCGATGTGCGACAGTTCGAGTCGCCACACTCCCTCCATGTACCACACAAAGCAAGAGAAGAAATTAGAAGAAATGCATAATACAGACAGTAAACAGAGGTGTGAGACAAAGGAATAGTAACAACGAACGAAGAACAATATAGTTTCATTGGAAATCACAAGGAAAGTCACAAGGAGTGGATGCATCTTCGCTAGCCAGCCATTGAGAACGATGAGTTTGAGCCATGTCACCAATTGTTTCCAGCCTTCATTGATGTTTACCGTCCCGAGGATCCCAACCAGTCAGGAAGTCTACATCTTCCTAGGTGGTTTCCTTAGACTAACTGTTGTAGATTTGATTGACTGGTGAAGCCATGTTTTTGTTTGACCCCCACTAGCTCTTTTCCAGCCCGACCAATCCTATGTGAGCTAACATTGCCCATTGTCGAGGAAGGCGATGACTAGGCATTCATGCGTAACACATGTCCTAAACATCTCAGTCTTTGTAACTTCACAACTTCGTCGATTGATTTCCCCTCCTTACCTAGAACTCGACAGACGCCTAACCTCAATATTGTTCACCTTATTATACCAATTCACACGGGAGATAGAGCGAACGCAGGCACCTATGATCAAAGACAACTAATCTTTTCATGTTTTCCACTCTCAATGGCCATGTCTCGCTTACAGCCATAAAGGAAGACGGAGAGGGCTGTTGAGCAGTACACCCGCCCTTTGGTCGATAGCCAGTCGGATATCACGTCTACTACTAAGCCAGAGACGGCGTAAACTGGCATATGCGAAACTAGCCCTCTGTATCCATACTCAGCTGAAATTTCGTCAGAGATCAACCCGTTGGCATTGGCCTCCAAAGCCTCAGGATGGTCGGGGGTGGGTGCCTTGCGCTGCGGGTTGGCCACCCCTCCGTTCACCTCTTGAAATGCTCCCATATGACCGGGCGTCTTACATAGCCTCTCCTGAGGAAGTCCTACTCACTGCCTTCACGTGGCGGAGCTGTTTTTCACCAAAGTGAGAGGGCGAAAGCGGATGCCTGGCGCTCTCCACCGGGTTGACTGTCCATTGGATGACAGTCTAGGGGAGATGGCTAAACCCTGATTCCAAACCTCCAACGATTGGCGTATGAAGCTCACTGGAGCTCACCGTCAGACGTATGGACAAAGGGCTTGTTGGATGTCCTGGATGTCTGGCCCCATTCAAAAAGGCGTATGAACCGAACTCCGGTCATCGGCTGCCAATGGATAGTGGACTCCTTACTCCACTCCTACTGCCTTGTAGGTCACACTTGGTTGTGTAAAGGCTAGAGCTGCACTCTCAAACAAAAGGCCGAGCGATTCTGGGGACATCACTCGTACCAAATCCCCATGAAACTTCATGAACTCTCTTACAAATTGCCGCGCCTGGGCAGCGATGATTCGAGACGTTCATGAAGCCGGCTCATCCTCCCGTAGGAGATAGCCCAAGTAAAGAAGAAGAAAAAAAGAAAGAAAGTTGGCATTGGCTGATGGTACTTCCTAAATAAGTGAAGCGGTCAACGTGCTCTACCGGTTCACTCCCTATTTCTAAACTAGGAGTCAGTGTTGTTTAGTCTTGTAACATCATCTTGCATTTCGCGGTAGCGAATCGCATGCCAAACATTCGGAGATTGCTGCTCAGGGTGTTCAGAAGACTCTGCTGTATTTTGTCAGCGTCCTCGTCTAGAAGGACTCTATCGTCTGCATATTCTAAGTCAACGAGATTATTCCCTAGGAGCAAGTCAATCCCTGAGTCGCTGAAGTCACATAGGGTTAGGTCCATTAGTACATCTATGATGAAGTTGAATAGAAATGGGGATAATAGGCATCCTTGACGGACACCACTAGTCGTCACCACTTCAGATGACAACTCGCCGTAGGCCCTCACCTGGCTGTATTAGTACTGTAACAACAGAAGACAAGGGCTGGCAACAGATCGTTTTATTACGAAAATCAACACGTATTTATATATATTTTATGTGCATTAATAAGGCTTATGCAAGCAGAAAAAGGCAGTCTTCTGATTGGTTGTTTCTCGGAAGTTAAGCAGACAAACACAGTCTTATGATTGGTTGTTTTCGATATTTCTCGGAAAGTAGAGCCATCTATCTGCGAATCATATTTGTCCACATTTAAGTTTGCTGTGATTGGTTGTTGAAACAGCCTTGTTCATATTTTCTCACGGCCCATATTAGTGACCTAGACATTAACGTAGATTAGTGCCAACCAATCGGCTAGCAGCCTGCTCTCACCACACTCGTCCCCCCGTCAAATAGCTTCGTGCGCAGACGTTCCGACCTTCTGGGTGCTACATCCTCTAGTTGAGGATTGTTACTGACCGGCTTGTCCCACTGTACCCATCTTTGGAGCTGACTGGCGTTAACTCGTTTCTGTTTATCACCTCTTCGGATGGTATATACTTGACCCCGTCTTTTTGTGATTGTGTATGGTCCTTCCCACTTTGGAAGGAGTTTCCGTGAACCTAGCCCGCCTCCAACTGTATATCTCCTGTCTCTACACTTCACTTGGTCCCCGACTGCAAAGGTAATGCACTGCGTCCTTTCTTTCATCTGAGACTTCGTGACATCACTGCGCTGCTTCCGTATTACATTCTTGACTGCCTCTTTCCTCTCTGCTTTTAATTTCGTCGTACTCCACTTTTGGTGCATGGGCCAGGTCTCATTGTGTACCGGTAATCGTGGTTTTCTACCATACATCAGTTGGAAGGGTGACTTCTTCGTTGTTTCCTGAGTGGTAGCCCGATGTGTTAGTAAAATCAGTGGAAGCTCCGTTTCCCAGTTCCCGCCCTTCGAGGCCAGCCACTCCTTCAGTGTACGGTTGTTTCTCTCCGTTAGGCCATTCGTTTGTGGATGGTATGGGGTCGTTCTGATCCTCTTGATGCCCAGCTGTTGCAAACGGGAAGTAAACTCTTCACTCTCGAAACAGGGACCTTGGTCTGTCAGTATTGTCTTCGGTACGCCGTGGTCTGCAACAATGTGTCTAACTACTGCATCTGTCACGGTTCTTGCACGTTGGTCTGGGATTGCTACGGCGTCTACCCATCGTGTCGCGTGTTCCGTCATCACCAAGAGGTACTGATTACCATTGGATGTCTGAGGAAATGGACCCATGACATCTACGGACCACAAGTCACCTATCGCGGTAACTGGAATCGACTGAAGTGGTGGTCGTATATACCGGTCACCTTTCATCAGCTGGCACCGTGGACATCCAAGTACGTATCTTGCTACGTCTTCTCTCATACCTGGCCAGTACATACTTTGTCTTAGGAGGTCGGTCGTTCTGGCCACGCCTGTATGCGCTAGCTGGTGACATTCTTCTATCATGTCGTGGCGCGACGATTGAGGTATGACAGCCAGCCAGCTTCCGTCGTTCTCTCGCCAGGTCAGAGTCCCGTAGGCATTCACTCTGAGTCGATCCCTCTGTCTGAGTAGTGTGGTTAGCTCCTTACTCGCCGTAGTTTGATCCACTTCTATTCCGTTGGTGATCACCTGTATTACTGTATTCAGCGTATCGTCCAACCTCTGCCTACGTGCAAGTCTTAGTGGGTCTTGTTCTACTGCATGCACTCCGTAAGCGACCTCGGGCAACTCAGACTCATCTTCTGGTCTCGATAACAAATCTGCCAAGACATTTTCACTTCCAGGAACGTGTGAGATCGTAAAATCGTACTCCTGAAGACGCAACATCCACCGTGACAACTTCCCCCGTGGGTCTCTCGCTGTCTTCAAAAATTGTAGCGGCTTATGATCAGTTTCGATGTGGAACCGCCGGCCGAGTAAATAAGGTCTCCATTTGTCGACTGCCCATACCATTGCTAAACATTCTTTCTCTATCGTTGAATACTTTCTCTCTGTGAGGGTCAAAACCCTACTGGCATACTCAA